GGTGTGGGTGTGGGTGTGGTGTGGGTGTGCGGGTATGGGTGGGTGTGGATGTGGGTGTGTGCGTGTGAGTGGGTGTGCGTGTGAGTGGGTGTGGGTGTGGGTGTGGGTGTGGGTGTTGGTGTCGGTGTGGATGTGGGTGTGGGTGTGGGTGAATGTGGGTGTGGGTGGATGTGGGGGTGGGTGTGAGTAAATCATAGACATTCACACCCACACCCACACCCACACCCCCACACCGACACCCACACCCACACCCACACCCCACACCCCTACCCCCACGCCCACACCCACACGCACACCCACACCCACACCCAGCCACCACACACCCACACCCACCCACATCCACACCCACACTCACCCACACCCACACTCACCCACACCCACCCACACCCACACCCCACACCCTATACAACAAAAAAAAAGAAGGGAGTGTATTGTATCGACTGACAATTCTCTCATTGATGTTTTAGTATGAAGGAAGCCAATATAGAGAATTGATCTAAAGTGTTTTTTTGAACATTAATTATACAATAATTTGCTTCATTTTAGTTTCAATATATTAAAAATTATTCAAACGAATAACAACAACAAAAGGTATATAAATTTTTATTTCTTTCAAATTCTTTCTTTTTTTCTTGTCTGTATGTTTCAATTTTTGTTTGCATATACATACATCATTTCTTTTGTTGTTTTGATTTATTTATCAAGAGAAAAGACGAGAGAAAGAGAGAAAAAAAAAGGAAAAACGAATGAAGTAAGATGTTCGTGATTGTCAAGGTTGGTTTATATTTATTTTCTTTGAGGTTTTGAATAATCATGATCATAATATTAAATTAATAAAACAAACAGATAGAATAACTGGATCGAAGAAAAACTTATTACCAATCAACATTCATCATCACAAGAAGTATAAAAATTTATTTATTAAGAAATAGAAAATTATTATTATTATTATTACATAATAGATTATAAATGAATATCATGAAGAATTAAGAGTAAATTTATAAAAAAAAATACAAATAGAATAGAAAATATTATTCAACAAAATCCAATTCTATCTCAATCGAATCAAGATTCACGATTAAATCGTTCATTAGAAACAAGTCAAGTTGTTGCGGTTGCTGCATCTATTAATTTAAAAGTATAAAGTCATTTGAAAATAATAGAATTGTTTTTCTTGTTATAAATTATGTACTTTTAAATATTGTTGTTATAGAATCTTCTTTCTTATCAAGATGTTATGAATGCAATTGAACGTGATTATCATTTACATGAAGGACAAGAACGTGAAATAATTATGAAATTATGGTTAAAAGGACAAACAATGATTGCAATTTTACAACATTTTAGATATTTATTACAAGATCTTAATATAGATGATAAAGATTTTTCTGAAGGATTAAAAGTTTGTATAAATAATATTCACAATAATTTATTCAATATTTACAAAAAAAAAAAGATTTCTATTAATACATATTTAACTATTGTTTATTCAAAATATGATTAGATTTTTTTCTGCTACATAAAACATATTCATATTTTCTTAAACAAAAAAAAAGGGTTATAACTAATATGTTTTTATGTATTCGAAATACATATATATATATATATATTGTTGTACTGTTATTCTGAAGTATGTGTATGGGAATGAGATTTTATTTCTACATATTGTTATTGCATTCTTTAAACACTTGTAAGTTATCTTTCTCAGACGGCTATTCTATTTATATGTAATAAGTATCTTGTTGATATTTTTTTTCTTTTTGATCTAGAGATCGATTACATTTGAATTGTTTGTTTTTGTTTTTATTTAGCAAATACGTGAAAAACTAAATTATGCTCATCGTGATGTATATTATCTTCAAGAAAAAAATCTTATACTTGAAAATCAAAATAATTTTCTTGAAAATGAATTTAAACGACAATTAGATAAAATAATTGAAGAAAAAAATGAACATATTAATCGACTTATACATGTTATTGATTAAACATATACACGATCAACTCAAATAAATAATCATATTAATGATGAATATTATTCATCAAGTAAATAAATAAAATAAATTTGATTATATTCTAAAAGTTAAAATAATAGACATCAAATATTTTATTAGTAGAAAAAAAAAATATAATGATCATATTATTTTTTTTTTTGCTTTTCTATGAAACCTTTTTACTATTCAACAAAATGGATTCTATATGTAACTGAGAATAAGAATAAGAATAAGTATATTTTATATATACGTTATAATAATGAAAAATTCAGTCTTATCTAAATCTAAATTTTAACCAAGGTATGAATTGAAGTATACTTTTACATATCTCATTATACAAAATAAACTAACCTTGTGATTACTATTGATCAAGGTAATTTCGATTAATTGGAAAATTTTTCCTACAGTTAACAAACTTCAAATATAATCAAATTATAACAATAGAAACAAGGCTAATTTGATATCGAATTTTGTTTTTTTTTCGATTAGTAAATTCTTTATTAGAGCTCATCGGATTAATTTCGAACTCGAGATTTTTACTATTGTTTGATTCTGTCATTACATTTCAAAATATATTTTGTAAACTTTTTTATAATTGTTAAAAACAAAATTTCTCTTTTTTCATTCTATTGTTTATAGTTTTGATTGGAATATCTAAAATATCTATATATTTGATGTCAAAACTGTACAACATTTATTAATGTCCATTTCAGAGTTAAATGGCCGTGGGCATTTTTTGAATAACTTTTGATAGGAACGAGATAGAAATCTCCAATTTTCATCGTTGGAAAGAACAGATGAAGTCGCATCGAACTATAAAGATTTTTTTAAACTATTTTCCTATAGGTTTAGTCAAAAGTTTTCAAAGAATTGCTTTTTCCTCCTATGTTAAAAAAAGTGGCTTTTCTATCAAAATACGACAAAAATTTACATTTTTCGATTATTTTGTTGAAAAAAAAATGAGGTGGTAAATTGTGTTCCGATGGTTTACATATCATACTAGTAGTAGTTAGGAACAGCGTCTTGATATAGTTTTGTAGCTCTTCCTTTGGCCATTCTAGAGCACTCTTGAAAATCAACAAGTTGATATCATGACCATGAGAAGCATGCTGTTTTTCTTGAAGTTTTATATAAAACCTATAGGAAAGTAGTTAGAAAAATCTTTCTATATATAATTCGATGCGTCTTCATCTGCTCTTTCCAACGGTGAAAACCGGAGATCTCTAATTCGTTCCTATCAAAAGTTATTCAAAAAATGTTCACGTCCATTTAACTCTGAAATGGACATTAGTTACATGTAATAATAATAATGTCGTAGTTGATGGTTTCTTCTATTGTATACTTTTTATTGTTGTTTATCGAATAACAAAGAAGATACATCTTTAGTAAAAACTATCGTATATCGAACTTCTCAACTATTATTATAATTAGTTGTACGGATTCGTCTGAGGTTAAACAATAAGATATACCAACTATAGTTTTGATGATGAACATAAGAAGAGAAGAAAAAAAAATTCTCGGTTAGAATTAAAGATCATTATTAAACGGAGAATGTTATATTCTTACGGTAGGCTTGTAATTCAATATCGTAATTCCCTTTTTCCTGTTAAGTTACTTCTAATTTTAGCAATTTTTTTTTTAAATGCAAATTTATCATTCCTAGAAAAAAATTCTCTATAGAAGATCTTTGCTTCATTCTTATTATCTTCTAATGATACTAAAATACTGATAAATATATGTTGACTTGCATACTTTTGAGATAAAACATTCACTTTTATTCTCAGATATATTCTAACAAATATAATAATATTAATTTATCATTTTCTTAAATATGAGAAAGACTAATTTTTGTTTTTTGTATTTTGAAACTTTTCATAGAGAATAGAAATAATTAATTA